AAACGCGGCACACATTGAGCTAGTTTATTATTTGGACAGATGTTCAGGAATTTTAAATAACATATTGCTGATTCACATGCCACTTGAGCATGTTTCACGTTCTAAATTTGATTTGTTTTCAATGTAATGAATACAGATCGATTACGTCATTTTGGGAATTTTTCAAGCGAATCACCTTTGATCATCACCGAATTTTTTTCTCGTGAAGGAATTTGTGATGTTTACTTCATAACGGACCGTTATTAACGGTTATAAAATGCGCTATAAGCTAAACCGCATCACTATAGAGCAAACCATTTCAGAGTGGACAATTTTGGCCGCCTCTCACCACGACCATTTCCATTTTTGTTTTTAAACTGTAATGCTTTTTATTCTGACGATAAACTTGTGAACCGATTAAAATGGAAAAATCTGCAAGTGCCGGGCAAAATTCAGTGTCAAATATCCGGAATGGCTTATCCGCCAAAAATTTTCTCTCTATTTATTTAAGCAATTTGGAAACTAATTGCTTTCATAGTACCAGTGGCTTTTTCGTTCCATTTGAGATGAGAAAAAAAAGAACATTGTCCCACTTTGAATTTCATTGGCTCATTTTGCCGCGCGCACTGTGCCGCTCGGCCAAAGTGCTGCGACCGATTTGAATTTAATGAATGTCAGAAAACTGCTTTCCACTCTCTCGGCACTTGTCCGACGGTTGACTTTTCCTCCGAATAAAAAAAACATTTGCATATTTTTCGGACAACACTTTTCCATTTGCCTCACATATTTGCATTAAAATAGTGCCACTCGAAAGGTTTAATAATAAAGTCACTTAAAACAAAGTGGATATACCGATGTGATAGCCAGCATATTTCGTTTGCCGAGTGTATTTATTGCACCAAGCCCCTAATATTTATTTGGATTTGCCAAGTGGCAAGAGTTTTGCTTTAAGAATAATTAATACGAAAGGCATTTTCTACAAGTGTTTCTGTTGACTGCTGCTGTAAGTGAGAGACATGCCTAACATGTAGACAGCACAAATTTGCATAAAATTTCTCAAAGTCACAATCTGAGCTCACAGCAAAACTGCAAAGTGCAAAAGTGCAACATATACGATTTGACTTCGTAAAATGCAAATCCGGAGTCTATCCACTTAAATCGATGATAGATATTCATGGAGCGTGCATTTATCAATGTTGGTCGGGTCTATGATTATACGGCTGAGAGTCTATTTATGGATATGCCACTTCAAAAAATGATATTACAATTTTTGGCTGGCACAGAGAAACACATACTACAACCAAAATTGGGGATTTCGGGTTCGGAGCGAAGCACACACTGACTAACTGGCTGGCAACCGAGAACAACTTGAGATTTTGTTGCATTTTTTATTATTCGACTGTTGAACACAGAAGTCATGAAGCATGGCACAAATGTTTCTGTCGCTAGATAAACGACTGCATAAAGAATATCAAAAACCTGGCAAAAGTTCATGCAGTCAGTCTCCCCGATACGATACGATACGAAACCGGACCGGATTTGGAATTTCTTTATTTTCTTTCTCTCTCTCTCTCTCTCTCTCTCTCACCATTTCATGAAATCTCAGCGAACAGTGATACGGAAATTATTTAAATTTGTATGAAACCAAAAACCGATTTCCCCACCATGATTCACTTCAGACGGAGCGCATTTCTGTCAGCAAATAAATATATTTCATGTTCGTTCATTTCTTTCTCTCGCTCTGTTTTTGTGTTCGATGTTTATTTCATTTTCTTGAGAGAGCATAGTGATTTCAATTCAAATAAACTGTTCGAATTATGACTGGTGAATGCGCATCTCAAAGAAAATCCTGAGCACATCCGAATGGAATAACACCGTGTGAAACAGATTCGCAACGAAAATAATGACAAACGAAATATTTATGCAACGTAGAAAACTCGCTGACAAAAAAAAAACGAAGCAGCAGCACAGAAAAAATAAAAAAACTCGAACGAGGTCACGTCAAAATGAAAGAGATAGAATGCAAAGAAATTGAAGATGTGCATTGTGTACAGCTGTATCGAGAATGCGACTCAACTGAACACGAAAAAAAAAATGCCGAATCTATTGTCGTCATCGAGTATCGTACAGAAGGATTGAAAACAAGTGAAAAAACCAACATTTCGCCAAAAATATTAATGATGGAAAAACATTATTTTTGGCAACGGATCAAAAGCGGCTTGTACAAGTGTGTGTATGTGTGTGTGTGGATATATTTAAAGTAGGCCGTCTCGCTCCTCGTTACCCGCGCTCATTTATTGTATTTCATTGTACGTGCAAAAAAGTACTGAAGTATGCATTATGAAACGAATTGGAAATGTTTATCATAGCATACACCAACCCAAACCAAACCGAAGCGAACCGAACAAAAAAAGCCACGGAGCACAACCTTTATCCGCCTAGTGGCGACTGGCAATAACGAATGCACATTTTCACATAATGTTCTGTGTAATTCGTAATACCGAAAGCAAAAGCAAAAGCAAAACGATATGAATCTTGCTGCGCCGCTTTTTCGCTCGCCTGAGTTCCGCCTTTGCACGATGACTTTTATTGGACTAGCGATTTAGCGTTGGATAAAATATTTCAGGAATTTGAATTGGTTTTTCTTTCCATTTTTCTTCTTCTATTTTTTTCATACATTTTATTATTCGGCCCGCACATTTATTTACAAATGTATGGGAATTAACTCGGTGTTGTGATCAATAGGCCAATTTGGATGAATATGGTCTTTTCTCCATTTAGTGGTGTTATTCCGAACGATCCTTTTAGTACCAAACAAGACATCCTTTTGCGAAGAAATCATTTTTTATTGCATTTTTTACACTTTGTCGATTTGGTAACGCTCCAAAAAGATTTCCACTTCTCTCCACGTCCTTTTTTTCTGATTATTCCAGTGCAGAAGAAACTATACCATGAGAGAAATCCTCAACTGATGGGCATATCTGTCTTTATATCAGCAAAATGATGTATCTCTTTAGTACTTTATGTTTTTCAAATAAAAACTTCGTCCGAAAGCAACAAAACGATACACACACCGAACAACAAACTCTTGGTCGTCTTTCAGCCACTTACAGTCGACGTAACTGCCAAAAACTACGATGTTGTCGAAATGAAAATTTTCAAATGTTGTGTTCCTCCTTTTGCCCGTTTTTTTCTACCACCCAACTATTTCCATATTAGCTTTGAATAGCATGTCGTTTGCTTTTCCAAAGAAGACAGCAACAACGACAATAACGACGACGACACACAATCTTTTACGAAAATACATTTCGCTTTTTCGTTCGTTTGCTAGCTGGCTCACTCGCCCGCTTGCTCATTTCCTCGACATTGTGGAATATTTTTTCGCATGAACTACTTTCTTTTGTTGACAATTTATTAAATTACTTTATTTCGTTGGTTCGGGCAATCGTAAGTACCTTCTAAACATGTGACGGTCGTTATTCGATTTTTCCACGTCTCTTTGGTGTCATTCACAGTGTAATGACACAAAAGTTTGTGACTCCTTTCCGGTCAAATATTTAGACGCTCATGAATGAATGGCAAAACTTTTCAACAATATTTTATGGCGATATTCTCTCATTTTCGAGTGAGCGAATGCGCGCACGCACGTAGCAAACCAGCAAAACACTACGTCGGCTTCCAATCATCTAACCACGACGCCTGGCGAAAAAAAACACATATACACACAGACTGAGCCAAATGTTCTCGGCATGAACATCATGGTGACATCAAACAATTGCAAAGTGTCCCACTCGTTGGCGCTGATATACAGACGCATCACATCTCACTGTAAATAGATTGATGGTTACGTCTGCCTGAATTACGTCAAAACGAAATGACAGTCGTGATTCGAGAAAAAGTTTTACGTCTTGCGAAAGACTTAAAATAGAATCCCTTCCATTCCAAACGATAGAATGATGTTCAGAAACGCATATGCAAATGGTTATGCTTATGCTTATGCAAACAATTGCTTGAAATGTGGACGAACAATGTCACAATATGTTTGCTAATTTTATTATATTTGTTCTGCGTATGCAGCGCTGTTAGCGTTTTCCATTTTCTTTCCATATATTCTAATGGAATCAATTAATATAATTTACATCTGAGACAGGAGTAGCGAGTGTGTCTAAGTGTAGAAGAATTGTAGAAAAAGTTTCGATCGTTATGCCGCGAAGCGTGCAATTTTTTTCGCTATGATTTATGTCTACCGGATGCTCTGAATAGAGTTATTCTCTCGGCCCACTTTTTCATAACTTATTGATCACGAACCTCTCACGTAAACACTTCATTATCTGAATCACATCAAGTTGAAAGAATGAAAACGTTCCGAAAACAATACGGTGATAATTTGCAACAAACTTTAAATTGTGTTAATAAGATGCATTTGATACTACGTTGAATTCGAATAATCAAAATCTAATCGAGATAATGAGTTCGTTTTGGTTCACGCTTCATTGAATAGGTTCTCTCGCGCGCGCACAAACACTGACACATATAAACCCGAATCGGTGTACACACGCACGTCGGATAATAAATGGATTTTTGCGTGTGTTGATCGTTGAAACATAACAAAAACTTGAAATGCCATTTTTGGAGTCGAACAACCGCAACAGACGCATGATCTATGATGAAGCGGCAGCGGCGACTTATAGAAGGTCATGAGAGTTAAACTCATAAGACTCAATAATCGCTGCTACAAAATGATATGTGGTTTCGTCTTTTTTTTTGTTCGTCTGTATGAAACAAGTGTCGTCAGTGAATTCGAAGAATTTGAATTTCATATCAAGTTAAATTGCCAACAAAACAAGCAATTCTGACTATTGCAAAGAGACGATGTATTTAAATTGTTCGTAGAGCCGATTCAGTCAAATCAATTTATTTTATTTAAGGCGAACAAATGAAAATGAATGATTATTGCATATCATTTGAGTAATAATAATCGAAATTGAAAATGCGACGAATAAAATTGAAGCACACACAGTCAGACTCCCAGATACAACGTTAGAGTAATGCAATTTCTCGATTGAAAACATACCGAAATTGTGTTTTTAATGAAGAGATTTACATTTATTCCACGAATGAAACGCGATTCATTTTTATAAAACTCTCACAATCACAATCACAACGCAAGCATCTCGCACAATAGTCGTACGAAATAGAAAAAGTTAATTTGTGATTGAATGAGAAGACAACAGCACTCAGATAGCGCGACACATGCTTCTCTCTCGTTGTTTGCACAAATACTACAACACAATGAACAGTTTGAAAAAGTCGCATAAAAAGCTTGCCGTACTTAAGCTTGTCGCCGCTAACTCATTCAGTTTCGTTTAATTGGTGCTGTAGAACAGATGCTGTTAAAGTCTTCCCCGTCTGCGTCATTAGTGTGAAGTGAAACAGTTTTGATCGCAACACCAACCAATACTTTCGGGTAATTCCCATTTTACAAACAAAAAAACACATTTTTAACTTTGTTTATAGAGTTATTCTCGGATTTTTTTGTTTTTCTTTTCCATTAAAAACCCGGAATGACAGTCATTCTGGACCGAAAAATCTTGTGTTTATCAGCAGCAGTGGCACATAGTTCAACAGCAACAACAAAAACAACAACGAAATTAAAAGAGAAGAAGTGACGAAGAATCGAAGCGATAAGTGTTCAGTGTATTGAGTTGTCTGGCCCTCGTGTTAATGTTAGTGTTGAGTACGTGTGAGCGTGTGTGTTGGAAAGTAAACGACGCAATTTGATGGTCAATTTTTTTTTGATGTAATCTAAAATGGAACCATCATGAGCGATAAAATAGTCGCCGTCGATTCGAGTTTCCGTGTGAATTAATTGATTCAATAGCCACTAATTGAACGTAATGACCAAAACGATTAAAATCATTCGGTCTGTGTGTGCAATGCGCACTACGATTTTAAATGATATGTAAACAACAACCGAGATTAATCTCTCTCCGTATGCAATTATTCCACATCCCTGTTCTCAATTGCTATTTCTAGAGAGAGAGAGTGCGGAAAAAAAGTTTGTTTTTGTTCAAAGTTTTGATTTATTTCATTTCAGATCATTTTCAATAGTTCCATTTTTGTAAGTCATGAATTCGACGTGTACACAATAACTCCGAGAAAAAAACTTTAACCATTAATTCACCTTTCAAAAGCACTTTTGTATTGAGCTTCGTTCTGTGTTTATTCAAAGGTGTTAATCGAATTTTACATCCGCTTTTGTGAATGTTATACAATTGGGCCGAATGAGGTCGGTTGGGATTTGGCCTGTTCAAAATGTAGAATTGTTGTTAGTTAAAAGGGGGTATTTGCATTTAAAGCAATCGCTTTAAATCATTTGCCCACACCAGTCCTTTCGTCCGTTTTTAATCAAAATGTTGCGTCCCAGACATCGGTTTTGCGTGTAACAACAGCCAACCAGCATCGTTCTGCTTGGCAAATGAGTTTAAGTAATTTGAATTTCATGGCTGCGTCGTTCATCATTTTCGATGATAAAACTATTATGCAGACTCATTGAACCGCAACAAATGTTGTGGTTTCAGCAGAAGACACACAATTTGCCGTCTGTCGAGTAGCATGAAAATCAATATTAATTTAAGAAATCCCCCAACTGAAATTGAATCGAATGGTTTTAAAATAGTATGGCAGCCACTGCAGAAATGGATTCTGCAAATGGATTTTCTAGATAATGTGAGATTACAGTATAGAGTCGTAACGTATCGTGGAGTAGAAATCGATAAAGAAAAAAAACTGAACTGCTATTAATATTTGCCATTATCATTCGGTTTTATATTCGGAATTGGATGCGAACATCGTAGCGTAATAAAGAGATGAGAGAAAGAGCTTAAGTATAGAATCCATATAAAATAAATCTTATCCAGTATTATCAGGAAACGAAAAGCGCGCTCACACATACACAAAGACGTACATACGGAGAAAAGTTCTTAGTCAATGATTGCCCTACTCAATCATCACCATCGAAAATAGTTTATAAACAACATTGCCAATGGCTGATATCACCAGCACAACCTTCCACTACTTCATACGTCGGCAATTTTCCGACAGTTTTTCTTCTCTTTTCTATTCTTATTATTACGATTGTTGTTGCTGTCGTTGCTGTTGTTCATGCTTCGAGAACAACAGAAGTTTTACGAGAAGAAAATTCAGAAAATATAGCAATATTTCTTTCCTTTGGATGGAATTGATTTATCGCGTACACGAGATACGAATATGAATTATTTATCGATAAATCACACACGATCAAATGCGAAAAAAAAACAACTAAGAAGATGAGAGAAGCGGAAGCGACAAAAATCCAGAATCAAAACGTGTTTTATTAGAAATCACACAAATATGTGTGGCGCACAGCGGAACATGTGTGATCGAAGAAGTTTTCGACTATACTAGTATATGGTAGCGTGAATGAATGAACGGATGGGCAACGGGATTCGTAATAAAGCTTCAGATGATTCGCAGCAAAGGGCATCTTATTTGTTGGCCTGCAGCATTTCAGCAGCAACATAAAATATGTTGTACGTCATGTTATTCGTGACGATGCTTTTGCCCCTCGGCAAACCGTCATGCACAATTGCCATATAAGAGCTCTCTATCAATATACAATTTTATCGACGTCGTCTCCAGATACGGGTAGTTTGCAACACTCCTCCCTTCAAAGGGCTTGCCAGTGGCCCACGCGATGCATGTGTCACAACTTCCAAACATATTAATATATTAGTTTCGAACCATTTCATACGCATGGAATCGACAGCTCAGTCTTTGTTTTTTGTTCTTATCGAAGAAGTTTGGCTTCTGCTATTTTCCGTTCATGAATTTTCCTCTTTGACATTCATTAATGTGCAGACGAGAGAAATAACCCGTCAATACATTTGAATAGTAAGCAAAACAAAGCAAAGGTATTATGATTACCTACACAATTCATATCTGTACATGAATGAATTTCAAGCATATTTTTGGATGTCGTTGAAATGTCCTTTGTTATCAGCATATGTGCGCACATAAATTTATAAATATCTTCTCCATTTGTTTCAGATAACCAAAAAGACGATTCCGTTGTCATGAAGATAACGATGGATTTGACTCATACCCTGCTTCTGCTGGCAGCTGTTGTTTGCTCAGCAAATGCATTCTCAAGTAAGTATTGTGACCACTAAACTCGCGACTGAAATCAAATGGCAAACTAAAAACGAATTGGGTTTTCTCCATACAATTTCCTCTCTCTTTCGCTTTTGTCACGCAGAATATGGTCGTACGTGCAAGGACATAGGTTGTTTGCCGAGTGAGTCTTGCGTTATTGCCAGTGATTCGTGCAGCTGGAGCCAACAAGAGGGAAAGGAATGCGGTTCATACCCAACATGTAAAAAGTCGAGCACCGTGAACAATTCACCGGGTAAGCGAAATTTGAATATGGTTAGGCATGCAAAATTTTGACTTTCTAATTGTGTTCGTCTATTGTATTTCCTTTGGGGGGCCTAAATTGAACAAAACATTTCGCACGATAAACTCGCACACAAACCAAATCATCAACGATACACATCACACACACACACACACACAAACAAAAACAAAAACACATCGATATTGGGTTGCACTGCACTTTGAAATGATTCAAAATGAAAAAACAAAAACAAATGGAATCGGAAAATTGCATGGATTGAATACAATAATTTGATATATTCAAAACAATGTCATTTCCACACGAACGAAACAAAAATGGAATCATTGAATCACCTCGACCGCATCTTTCTTTCTTTCTCTTTCTCTCCTTGTTTTATCTATGATGCAGGTGCCAGTTTGAATCCAGCCCCGGACAATACTCGGAATAAACAACAACCGAATGGCTATAATCCGGGTAATAACTACAATCCAGGAATCGATCCGAACCAAATATTTGGTAATCCTAATCGAGTACCACAAGCGAATCAGCCGTGGAACAATTTACCGATCTTCCCGCCAAACCCAACATCTGGCCGCGCGTCACCACAGCAGCCAATTTATCCACAAATGCCGCAAAATTATCCAAATAATCCATCAAATCCGCAACACTATCCAAACGGTGTAAATCCATATCAGGTTCCGTTCGCGTTCGGTTTTCCGCCACCCGGCCAACAGTTCAACATCTTTCCGCCGCGACCAACGACGCGTCAGCCCAGTCTACTCGACCAATTTCTTTACAACAAACAGGGTGGCCGACGAAATGCCGCCGCTACTTTCGACAATTCGTGGCATCGTTCATCGTTCATTGTCATTCTTAGTGTTTGTAATGTTTTGCTCGGATTCATACTAACCAATGCTCGTCATTAAGTCACTTGCAACATTGCATCACAATCGATATTGATATTGCTCTATACACAACAAACACACACAGACACCAACCGGAGTTCTTATTATTTTGCTAGTTTCATTTAAAACCGGGCTAACAACCTCATCCATTCGATACATAGTTGCATTGCACACGTCCATTATTGAACATCCAATCATATGGATATTTGAATAGGATTAAATTGAATGCATAAATAATGATACATGAACCGTTGGTTCCTGTGCAATTTCGGTCGGTTGATTATATAAACATATATAAATGTATGTTGCCATTGATGCAATTGAACAAGGTTTTCACGTGAATCTACCACTAAGTAGGCAACCCGTCTAATTTACGATTTAACAACGATTTTTATCGCACTTTGTACAAAAAAAAGAGAATAGAAAACCTTTTGAACCCTTTTGTTGTTCCAGTCCCATACACATTTTATACACAATCGGAACGCACGAATCAATGAAAAAAACAAACACTTTTTCTCTCTTGGAACAACAAATAGCCTAAAGATCAAAAACACGATACTTCAAAATTCAATATAAGCCTCTAATGTCAATTATCTAGAGAGTTACTTTTGCGATCACAACATTTTTTTTTCAATATATTTAAAAGGAGTTGAGGTTAGGGATTTTTATTTTATGAAACCAAGAGAAAAGAAAAACAATGTATTTTCAATTGGGTGGGTCTTCCTTTAAGTTGTTTTCTTTTTCATCATTTTTTTAAAGATCGATTCTTAATTGATATGATATTAACCGCAGCATGTAGAAATATGAGCAGCAACTTAATAAATCCATGTTACATTGGAACAAATCATACAAGAAATCGGTCAAAAATGTGTTTTTTCGCAAAACAATTAGTAAGACTAAACGTATTTATGTATGTAGAGAATAGCAACAAAAAGAAGATGGAGAAAGAAAAAACGAAAGAAAAACAATGATAACTGCACACACGACTGTTCAATTTCGATGTGCATATTTATGGTCTTATTCACAATAATAAAGTAGTCAATATCGATCCGAGACGAATTTTAAATATGGAAGAAAATAGTCTAATTTTTTATTTGCGTCCAATTTTTTGTGTGCACGAAATGTAATAAATTCTCTTGTTTTCAATGCGAATGTGATGATTTATCTCTAAACTATATACTTAATTTGTACTAGGGAATTGCTTTAGTGCTAGAGTGTATTTGAAATGCCCGAATGAGAATGTTTTGCGACCGTGAGCCGCAACAAAACAGCCATGGCGGTTTTGAAAAATGTGTATGCATTATTTGCGGCTGATTTTATACTGTGAAAAATTGAGAGAAAATGCCAAAACAAAATATTGATTGTCATGCTTAAATTGCTTCCGTTTTAGTAGAACATACAAAAGTCATAATTTATTGACTTGTTGAATGCATACGAACCAAACAAATGCCGTCAAATTACTCGAGAAGAATTGCGGTCTTTTTTCTTTCGGAAGAAAACCGATTCGCTTCGAATATTCGCCACGAGTCGACAACTTTAATTTGTATTTTTTTTCACAATCTTCTTTCAAATTATCGTTTTGTACGGAGTTTTGCCAACTTTTCTTGATTCTTTTCAACGAAGTGCCTGTTTTTTTCGTATAAGATTCATTTTTTTGTTTATCACACACACAAAAAAATACAATGTGAGTGAAATACGTAGTAGTTTCGTTGATAAAATGGTCTGGCTTTTTCTTTCCCAATGCAGAACTATCATTCGGGCAATCCTTCTTTTTCTATCAATTTCTCATGAAGACATTCTTTTTTTCTTGATTTTTTAACAAATTGTGTAGAAAAAACAGAGATAATTTAATGTGAATTTCTGTCAATCTACTGAAGAAGTTACAAGTCAAATCCAACTGATATATACAATACATATGCAAGCATACCGTAAAACATAAGAATAATTCTAGAGAAACACGAATTAAATTTTGTTCTTTTCATTTTATTTAAACAAAATACTAACTATATATTTAAGATTACGACAATTGTTGCGATTTTTTTTGTTTGTTTCTGTGCATTTTCTGCATTACAGTATGGAAATATATGGAAAAAGACTTTCTCAACTGTTTAATTGTCTCTTGTTCTTCTTTATCTTTTGTTTTGAGTCTTTTTTTGTGTTTGTTCTGCTTAAGTTTTGTGTTTGGGCTATTTTCTGTCTCATTCTTTTCGTGTTCACTTTTAAGTTCTTATGTTTGTGTGATTAAAAACATTCATTTTAGGACAAGATTCAGATGGATCACCACACAATACTGCGACACGTCGACCGTATGCACCGCCTTCATCTAACTCCGGCGGAAATGCGCCGCCAATGCAACCAAATCCTCAAGCTCCGAACAGTGGTGGAAATTTGTATCCAAGCATTCCAAATGCTCCAAGTGCACCGAGTGCGCCAAATCCAGGAAACCAATACCCCGACCCATACGGTGGTGGAAATAGAAACCCGAGCGCACCAAACCCATACGACCCATACAACGGAAACAGAAACCCGACCGCACCAAACCCATACGACCCATACAACGGAAACAGAAACCCAAGCGCACCAAACCCATACGACGGCAATCGTGACCGAAACCCATACGGAGGCAGAGACCCATATGATGACAGAAATGACAGAAACAAAGGTTCATCATCAGGGGGCTCATCTACATTCGGTGATATTTTCAACTTTTTGCGTAGTGGCGGTAGCAGCGGTGGAGGCGGCAGTAGCGGAAATAGTGGTAACCGTTATGGTAGTGGTGGCCTAGGTGGCTCAGGTATGAATCGATTGTTATTATTTTCAAGAGTGAAATAGTCTTATTGATGTAACGAGCATCTAAGTATTACTTTTGCGTGTGTTAATAAGATAAGATTACTTGTTTCTATATATTCAGGCTCAGGTGGCCTTAGCTATGGTGATATATTCAATGCTCTGTCTGGCGGCGGCAGCAATCGCGGAGTATCAGGTATATTTTTTTTTTCGCAAGTTTTACCCAAGAATCTCATGTTGACTTACACAGTTTCATGAGTTTTCTGCAGTAAAATTGTCATCTTTCTTGTGAATTAAATCAAAGTTTCGATAGTTGTATCGGCGAGAGGCAAACTAAACTCTGCCTTTTATAACTTGTTACAAAATGTGATTCTTCGAGAATAAATTTGCGTCGAAAGTTTTAAAATGGTTAATAGTCGACTGCTTCGCACGATATATTGCAACCTAACTTTACTTGGCTACGACTCTCACCGATAGTATTTTTACAAGTACAAATGAGACAGTATTATCACAAGCATTGAAACTATACAAGCTATTTATTACGTTCAATGATGCATTTTAGGAAGCGGCGGCGGTTTCTCGGACATTTTGAACTCATTCGGAAATCGTGGATCAAGTGGAAATCGTGGTGGCTTTGGTTCCGGCTCCGGTGGCTTTGGGGGTAGTTCAAGTGGTTCAGGTGGTTTGACTGATATTTTGTTCGGACGAGGAGGTGCTGGTGGACAACAGCCCCAGCCCCAGCCCCAACCAGCATCGTCCGGCGGTTCCAGCTCAAATAACGGAGGAAGCTTTTTGTCTGGAATTTCATCAATTTTCGGTAAATAGAATTCTGACAATCAAATTTGACTTGAATTCCCTTGAACCGGTTTTTTTTACTTGTCCATGATAAAAATTATTCGTGTACTTGAGTTCAGCGCATTTCATAAAGCGAAAACAATTCTTCAAATCAATAACAGAATGACTTCTGAGATTTCTATCTTAATCACTTTGTTTACTGATTGTTTTTTAATTTTAAACTAAATTGATGTATTCCTTCAATCTTGCAGGTCAACAGTTGGCTGATTCTTTGGTGCGAAATGCTCTATCAGGAAATCGTGGGGGTAGCTCATCGGGTTCTGGGGGAGGTGCTTCAGACATTATCAATAGTTTCCGCTACGGAGGCTTGTTCAACGAGAAAAATGGACACGATGCAGATAAACCAAAAGTTACAGTCAGTGGAGCAGGACCAGGTGGTATGTTCTGATAATTTTTGTTTACTAATTATCATAAGTTGAGTTCAACGTGGTAAATCAACTAAATATATTATTTTACAATTCACAGGGTATCCAACACAAGCACCATATCGTCCCGGTGGCAATAATCCAGCCCAAAATCCAAATACATATCAAAACCAGAATGCTCAAAATGTAAACAGAAACAACGTTTCGAACGCAGCTCCACAATCACAAGGATCACAAACATCAAATAGAGCAAACCCGTATGGATGGAGCGTCGGCCAAAACTAAATCAAAATCCAAATTTTGACAAGAGCACATCGTCCACACAGATTGACCATAACAATATTTGCTAGGAACTTTGTTTGAGATTCTAATTTACTAATTGTAATATAACTCATTTTCTATAAGATTTTAATGCAAGGACACTGTCTCTCAGTTCGAGAGTCTCAGATAGACAATAGCAAACAGTTTACAAAAACCATTTCATTGAATAATGCATACTGTTAGGGATCAAAAGCTGAACCAAATCGCATGACGCAATTCAGTAGAGATCAAGTTCATGTATATACATAAGATAGTTTTGAATGAATTTCACATGTATTTACAATTTAAGCAATGTACACAATTCACTCTGTCAATGTAAACGATTTCGGTTTGGTCCGGACTCACTCACTCACTCACTCACTCACCGATGATATCTAAAATTTCAAACGAACCAATTTTGCTCATTTATTGTGAAGACACTTTACAAAATCAATAAAGCAATACTCTCACATGGAAAAACTTTTTGAACTATTTTGTTTTAATTTAAGGCAAAGTGTATACACCTTTCGTATTCTTAATTTATTGATAGAATATATTGGTCTACAAATGGGAGATAAAGTCTCAAAACAATAGTAAACCACATCAAATTCGGTGCAAAAGTTGCAAAACTTAACCACCTCAGATCCAAAACTAATATTTACTTTCAAAATTTTCTGCAAAACATCATTCTGCCCATTGAAAACTGAACGTTCAACAGCTCTGAATTTAGTTTACTCAGTTTTCTGGTGATCTAATGAAACGAGTTCCGCACTATCATTTTACTTACCGTAGAAGTTATACCAGTTTGTAAAATTGTATTTGCTCCAAACCGCAAAACTCAAAATCTTCTTCGCTTTCGGAACTGAATCAAAATTTTGATGATACACTCAACAAATTCAAAGGTAGTCGACAGGTATGAAGATTCCAAAATTAAAACAAATACCCTAATTGCAAACAAAAATCGGTTTCATATTTACAACACCGATCCAACGATTATAATTTGAATTTTTGTTAGAGATACGGACAAAGCTAGTTTCAATTACAGTTTTTGGTTCAGCAGTGATGCAGTTCGGATGATGACTTATATCCGCATTAATTACGAAATCCAATTATGGTTTGAGGATCCATGCGGTTTCCTTTCACTGTGACCAACCACAAAGAATCATACAGAATCGAACTGTTGTGTGAACTGATTTCATCTTTTATCAAAACCAATGCAGTGCAAAAGATATTCTGAATTGGACATTTTGCTGCTACGTCGGAGAATTTCAACTGACAAAATAAAAACGTCATGGTGCCCCCCCATATGTAAATAGTTCAAATCTCAAAATTAAATAAATGTTTTCATGAATGATGTTTTCGATGAATTTATAATCGATGGTGTTGATTCCGTTGTTGACCGTTCAGAATACTTAGAGAACTTATAATTGATTAAAAATGCACATGCAAAGAGAAATCTGTGAATATTATTCACATGTTGAATCATGTAAGTAAGCAATACTTGAAAATGCACTTCTGGGCCACTGATGTGTACGCCAAGCTTCCATTTAATGGAATGCATACAAACATTCATTTGGGGAAGAAAGCGGGGAAATTTCCAATACAGTTTCATATCCGTTTCCACCCGAGGTTAGTATGCATCTTACTTGTTTTTCTAGAAAATGTGTCATCCAATTTAATACCATTAGTAAATGTGTTAAATTCAAAATTGAATATTGAATTTGACATCCAATATCAGTACGTACCAAATTGTTACTTAAAATGAATTTATTGAGTATTGAGAAATTTTATTGGTAAATGGATAACAGTTTATATCGAATCAAGCAATCTGCAGACACACAATGACGTGTACGTTTGCATTAGGCGAATATTACCGGTAGAAATAAATCCATAATGATCGTTCGAAATTGGTTTCATTATTGAATTTGGAGTGTCTCAAAATCAATATAATTCGGACTACGGCGGTTATAATGACGTATTTCGACAACTTCCAAACGCTACCTCCTTCAAAAATCCTCAATACTTTTTTCTTAGTAAATATTCGTTCCGTGTTTTAAAACAGATTCTTGTGCGACAAGATTTGTTTTGTTTATTGATTTATTTATTTGGACAGAAGATTGACCTTTCGGTTTATATCAAATTGGAAATTGGCTTTTAAACTCATCCATTTCAGGCTTAAATTTTCAAATAATCAAAGTATGAATATTTACATGAGATTTCATCAAAATTATGTGTTCTATCGTTTGCTTTTACTTTTAGTTTTTGGTAGATTCTCGTTTTACTCTTAATTTATTCACCAATGGACCTTCGACTCGCCTCAGATTCATTGATCGAAAGTGTCTAAAATTTCCCCTCATTTTATAGTATAGTTATGGCTATTTTGTGTATTTTGCATTGAAAACATACAACAAATCAAATGATTAGCCATATTTCGATTTCATACAAACATCAGACAATCCATTCTAGAAGAGAATTTTTAAATGTGAAACTTTCAAACCGATTATTGTGCAATACTGACCAAAAGCATGTTTTTCTATATTTTTCACGATTTCCTCTTATGTTCATACAAATCTATAAGCACCTTGAGTGATGAAATTGAAATACATAGATCCTAAGAGTTTTGCCCTTGATAGTGGTGATAATTTCTATAAACATTTAGAAGCTATTTGCTTTGTGGTTCTTTGGAGAATGTGCAAATCATGATGAATCTAATGACTTATTTTTTATACGTTTGGTATTTATTATTGCTCAATGTGGAACAAATTAGTATTGTGTAGCTTTTATTCAATTCGAAACAGTTTCTTTTATTGGGAATATGTTGAAAATCCATTCATTTGAAATGTTTGGGGGAATATTAAGGTTTTCATACGTATCGCAACCGATTCCTAAAGCGGCACTTCCTTATTTCACAATGCAGTGAACTATGGCTAAGTTTGATAAAATTTCATATTTACCTTTTCACATGTACAATTTCAAAGCAGTTGACTTAAGTGAAAAATCATTTTAAAAATTGCACGCTCCATCGTCACCATTGATCACTGGTGCTTGAACCATTTTAATTATTTTATTCGTAACATTCATGGTTTAACTAATGTTAAAATTTGTTTCATATTTTATCCACCAATAAATATTGACGATGGTTGTTGTGATTTCAATGAAAAATTCTGTGTTGAACATATTTTGATTTATTCATGACAATTCCCTCATTGGATGAGGTATGTTTGTTTGTCTTTGACCACATCACTATCTGTTTCACACCGATTGTTCCGAATATGAAAATGTTGTTCGAAAGGTGGCTGGTTCGCATTGTTTGCGTGTATCAGGAATCCTGAAACGCGTTCAAATGCAAATGTTCTCTGACCCGTCGACGATATTATCCGGTATTATGCATGGCTTTGAAAGCAGCCGGTCACAAAATACAAATTCAAAGAAAACAATGATAACACAACAGTATCAACGCGTCACTATATCGGTATCAATTTCAATCATCAGCTTTTATGTACGCATAAACTAAACGAAGTGATACATTTTTCCGCCACACCACCATCGAACAGCTCATAACGTACAGTTGGAACATTCGTAAAGTAAACATGCATGGGGAAAATTCGTGCAAGTGTGTGAAAATTTTCCACCGAGTGGAATGTGCGCGAATCGGGAAAAAGTTCGCAGTGACACCAAAATGAGGGGAAGTTTCCAGGGTATAGCGAGTTATTTGGTTGGGGAAGTTTCCAGGGTATAGCGAGTTATTTGGTTGTACTCCATCAGAATGTATGGAGTGAAGGCAATGAGTGTTGTCGGCTGGTGATATTTGCGAAAATTCTTTCAATCAATGGTCTCCGTTCCCACACACATTTGGACATACACACAGCATTTACTTGGAAATCGTTGAGAATAGTGGCTGCAAACGATGAACGGCTTAGAAGTCAGTTGCCGCCTGATTTTCGAACGATACACACGCATTTGAGAAAGTGCTCTCGTTGAAACCGTCTCACTTATTTGAATTCCTTTGCAACGATTTGTTTTTGGTGTTACTTCTCAATCAAGTCTAATCGAAAATAAATAACTTAATATTGTGTTTTTTTTTTGTTGGAGTCATAATTTATGTTTTGGTCAGAACGTGAAAAGGGGGAAAAGAATAGTGGAGAAAATGCCAATTCATTGGATTAAAAGCTTATGAAATTGTGTGCCAAAAGTCGCGTAAAATATGATGAATATGCAATATTGTGAATATTTATTATGTCTTTGAAATCGTGATGGTTTTCATTGGAAAAGTGCGTCTAAATGTAAATTTATTGCTTTTATCAATCAGAGAGAATCGTAAAACTCGTGCTAAATTTGGAACGAGACTCGTTAAAGTGTATACGGTGTAATAATGCGAGAGTTTCCAGTAACGGTATCATCGCATGTGTACCACATAAATTCAAGCGCATCAAATTTATTCGACGATGATCAGTATCAAAGAAAATTGCCCGCAATCGAATCAGATATAAATTGTTTCCACCAGAAACCGACGACCGCACAGCAGCAGCAGCAGCAGCAGCAACACCAGCAGCCGCAGCAGCAACAGCAAACATGCAGCAACAACAACAAAAATGCCGCCAATTATATTTGCACATCAAACGGGGATCTAACGTCCTTGCAAAGTGGTCGTTTGCAGAACTTTACCAACATAAATAACATTCATAACAATAATTGCAATCGTTCGCATAAAATTGCCGTAAAAAGTGGCAGTTTCCACAGTGGTGGAAATGATAAAAATGTGGAGCTGAGGGGAGAAACTTCTGACGGCAATCGTATGACCAGCGCTGGCAATACATCTTATTCCATATTCGATGCAATCACAAATGCCGTTACAACTGGGCATTGTGCGAGCACCGTGTATCCAACCACCAACAATCGAAACGATGCCGATTTTGATCAAATCAATCTTGGCCCGGATCCATTGACCACCTCGACATCCATTCATAATCTAAAAAATGCTTCATCGCATATGAACAATGATTGCGGACAATTTCAGCACTACCATTTCAACAATACTCGAACACATCAATTTCCATCAGCAAACTACAAGCACAGCTATCTATTATGGATTGGCACACCTGTGGCAGCCAGGTAGCTAAAATACAATGCAAACAACTCTACTATTTACTTGTTTTTGGTCTTATTTACACGTTGCATGCTCATAAATATAAACTGGCATTTTGCATTTCATATTTCACTAGAAAGTCGAACAAAGAGATTCGAGAGCAACAACAAAGTTTCAGTCAATCAGTCGCAAGTTTTATATTTTCTCGTTGGTTTTGATTATTGATAGAGGTTTTCATTGAATTTCACCAACGATACTTGTGAAAATCGCACACAATTCATAGTAATGGACGTGTTTACTTGGCATAATTCGTAAAATCTCAAGCTGAAATTCATTCTTGTACGACAAAATCTGGCATTTGGCTTATTTCACGTTCTACTTTTTCGCAGGCCCATGTCGTGGACTGCGTAAAAGTATTGCATTTGGCCCAAATTTTAAGAGACCCCAGAAATATGATTTCTATCCGTTTTCGAGGCCGTAGAACACGAAAAAATGGGTTTTAGAGCGATGTTTTGTGAGTCTGTTCCACGTCGTACGTTGTACGCAAAATTTTTAATGTAATTTGTTAACACGATAGCTCAACGACCAGTCGAGATAAATGAGATCTGGTGATGGCAAAAGTTTGGGCTTGTTTAGACTTAGAAACCATTAGATTTTCACCCACTTCAGATATAGCCTAGGATAACCTAGCCTATGGCCAACCTTTGAAAATCCCTGAAAATTCATACTTTTCTATGGAAGATACCTAAAATAGCCCCCCTACATGGTTTTCATCATATCAAACTGCTATTATTTCATCAAAATATTGAGAATTAGAGAGCAAGATTATATCATTTTCCCATGATTTCAGTATCAAATTCGAATTTGTAGGTGAAAATATTGAAAATTTCCGAAATGGTCACACTTTGCGTACAAAATCGGTCATAGCTCACAAACTAACCACCTTATAAAGATTATTGGCAACTATATATCACTTAATTTTTTATGAAGGATCGATTTCCAGTTCAATCGACCGTATCTGAAGTCTCAATGGTAGGGTTTAAAAACGCCTTATTCTTTTCAGTGTTTCTTAAAAACGTTTTTTTACAGAGCCGTTATATACCGCCCAAAAAACGTTTTTTTCGTTTTTTATCGTTATTTCTGCGGTATTTTGGACTGTCAAAAAAAAACACTACAGAAAAATAACGTTTTTATAACACCGTTTGCGGTATTTGTCGAAACGTTTGTAAACCCTACTCAATGGGGTCAAAAATGCAATTGTTCGCGGTGATATTTTCAACTCGCAATATTTTTTCCACTTGGAATAGAATTTTTGTGCATAAAGCTTGCAAAACGCATACAATTCAGAAATTTCATCGCGCAAACTCCAGTCTTTGTTATAAAATAACAGTGCACACTCAATATTATAGCGACATCTATTATTAAAATAGCTTGTAGTAAACGCATTCATAGCATTTCACTGTAGTTGCGATGTTACCAATTAAATTCCCCTGTGGTATGTAGTTAACAAGTGTCAAACATGAATGTGTCAGTACTACAAGGGAACTTAATAGGAAACATCGCAACTACAGGGAAATGCTATAAATGCATTTACTACAAGCTATTTTAATAATAGATGTCGCTATAATATTGAGTGTGTGCTATTTGAATAACATAATATTTATTTCTCTACGGCTTTGGTATCATTTCTACATTTTCGTTCCAAATCCCTTGGAAAATACCACTTTTGTATGAAAGTTAAAAGAAACGTTTGAATTCATTTTAATCCAACATTTGAGCATTTTTCCAAAAGCCGTGACGCGATAATTTCTAAATATCACTAGTTTTGAAGGGCATTTTAATATTAAGAAATAATTTTTTTATTCATCGATATCTAAATTTTATACGAATGAATACAAACATGACTTTCATTTGAAAGATCTGATTTTAAATCAAACCATTTGAAATAGTTCTGTATGTTTTGATAAATTATTTGTATTGATAAATTATTTGTAATTTTATTATTTATTATTTGGATTGATTGTGAAACAGATCACTGAATATAGAGAGTATTTGGATCCCACTGCGAAAAAGTTCGTCTTACTACGGTAAGACCATTTATTTTTTCTTCAAAAACTCGAATAATAATAATTGTTGGATGCTGAAGTATTATGAGAGACAATTTAACAACAATAAAACTTTTGCCATCATTTTCTGCAATAAACTTTTGGTTTCCACAAGTGATGTATTTGCGTAATGGATTGAAGCTACTCGCTTCGCACTTATTTATTTAAAGCACAGACGATATCGCAGCAGTTATATGGCCGCGTGTTGAATTCAACAACAATCCCGTGAATTAAACTTGGCTCAACAGAACACATTTTAGAACAGCATCAGTTCCAAACGAGCATTTTAGCGGTTTCTGTTTTTGTGATAGGGGGCCCATTCACAAGCACACATCACACGTTCACTTTTACAGACGGCACTTTCAAGATGAAAATTCCGCCCAATAATATAATGAATCAGATCACATTCATCGTGCCAAATAAAGTGTAAACAACCGCAACTAAGGAAGATGGAAAAGACTTTAAAGAGCTTTCGATGTGGAACGTGTTAACAGCAATTGGCCAACTACAACACGCTCTCTCTTTCTATATCCCTCTCTTACTCTCCATTCAATTTCCGGAACATTTGACCATTGTCGCATTCATTCATGTTAAGTGTAAATCAAATTTATGCACATCTTACAACAATATATTCAAAATAATGACATTTGCCACCAGCTAAATAACCCATCGATTTGAATTACCGTTTGTTTATACATGAACCAACAATTTATATTCACGCAATTTATAAAATTTACACCCGAACAACAAGAACGTGCCGAGCAGAAGCATTTCAAGTGAATTAGAGCAAAATATTCAGGCTCACATACGAATCGTATGATGCGATTTGATTATTAAGTGCAGCATTTTCCGCACATACTGCGGTAAACACACACACACACACACACACACACAAACATTTTTGTTCAGTGCATTTTTCTCGGATATTCATACCTCTGTGTTTAGTTATGGAACAATTTTCTCATCAGTTGCGACAATGAGAAGATAAAAAATATATGTGTAACGGTGGAAAAACGCAGCTGTAAAAGTTGATATACCTCAGGATTCGACCTTATTTAATTTGGTTCGGTTGCTGAATACATTGTGTGTGTATGATGTGCGACGTGATTCTTTCTAGTCGTGAAAAATGGCGAGCAACAACAAAAAACAACAACAACAACAACAGCCACAAAACAAAGTTGAGAAAAATTGAAAAACGTTTGGGAATTAAAAGTCAGTTGATGCTCCCGTTTTATATTCAGTTATCCGCATATCAAATTGCTAGCAAAATGTGCTTCGAATACATTTTCACTTAATTCACGAATTAAGCGATACACTTACTTTTTTCCCTCTCATTCGAATTTAAACACACAGTTTTGCACTTCTCCTCCAACGTTGAAGAGTAGCAGAAACGTTAACCTTCCGCTGCATACGATTACTATATATATTCCCTTTTCCAACAAGTGGCAACGAGGTTTTGCTCCAGAATTTTATATTCGATTGCAATTGTGAGCGACAACAACACAATAATGAATAAATAATAAAGTTTTTTTTGCCGTGCCATTTCAAGCAACAAACTGCATCTCGCAACATTTGTTGAAACACATATGTAGCTGTTGCGCTCATTTCATTCGTTCGAATTTGGTTGGTCAATTGGTCGAAACAGATTTTTAAAATGGTTCCTTTTTCAGAACTACTTCATTTTCACACGACGTATACCAAACAAAATCGTCGGCTAACAGGAATCATTCCGGAGAAAAGCGCCAAAGTTAGAATTAGTTTAACACAAAGTTCTTTCGCTATGTATGTAATGTGTATTATGATTTTTTTCGCTCTCCCGTCAATTTTGCACACAGTTCCAATAAAATGTTTATTTAAAACTTAACTAGATCATGTTGCTCGCTATGAATGTACATGAACGTTAAATGCTAACGGCACCGCCGTCATGCACTCATTCGTCCCGTCCCGTTCCGTCCCTCTTTCTTTCAATGGAAATGCTCTAAATGCTCTTGTGAACGGGTGCTATACAACATATCACTGGGGAAGCACAAAAAAGCGCGTGTGTGCACTGTGCAGCGAATACTGGATCCCTGTGAACGGTGAACACATATCATTTAAAAAACAATTTGTAAAGCGATAGAGCTTCGAGCAACTAACACCTCCGACGTCTCGAAACAAGGCAGCAGCAGCAGTAGCAGCAGCACCAACATGCATAGCACAAGATACAACTCTCCGCTCGAGCATTGTGAATAAAACGAAAAGTTTTTCTTTTCACTCGGATGTGTTGTTCATAAAAATGGATTGTCCCTTGCATCGAACCATGAGAAAATAAATTTGAGGAACAGACAGAAAAAAAGCGTACTTGAAAATGAACTGTAATTTGTTTTCAAATTTATGAGCCCTTTATCTTTGGCATTACGTTTAAACGTTATGCTCGCACGAAATCGTTGGTCAATCGACACCAAAAATCCTGAAACTGATTTTCAGGTGTTTTAGTATATTCAGACAGTGGAAACCAACAAACAGAAAAAAAACCTGCTAACATTGCTAATAGAATAAATGAAACCTTTTTGTTAACCTTTTTTTTCTTTACCAAACTTTATTTTGACGCCCAAGCATTCGAATCACTGTTGCGGTTGCAACCTAATACTCATTAGGTCGCAATACTCATTATTCTGTGCGATAATTACGATGCTTTGGTTTTCGAATCAAACTCAAAAGAATATTGATCAATGCTTATGCCAAAGTTAAATTTATCCGTTTGTTTGCCGATGCTGATGCTTGCAAAATAACAAAATATGGGTTGGTTCACAAACATCTGATGCTCTCCATTTAAAATAAACCCGTGAATAGAAAAAAAAAACAAGCACGACGTCGTCGGTCTCGTCGTTTCCTTTTCCCATTGCTACGTTTCGCCCATCTTTTTTCTGTTGTGACTCCTCCGTGCGTTGTTATTGTGTGTGTGTGTGTGTGTGGCAGCAAAAATGTTTGCTGATGTTTCGTTTTTCTTTAGCACATTTCGTCGGCAGGAATTTGTTTAATGTATCTTTTCTTGTCTCGGTTTTTTTATTTGCTGGTCTGTGGCTATTGTGTTGCAATTTTCCTTCATTTGAATATTTATGGCGGCACCAAATGTAAACTATGTGCAATAATTGAATTCCATGAATTTTTGTCATTGCCAGGAGGCTATTTCTGTAAATTTCCTCCGCTTTTTATAAATTTCTTTCTTCTTCTTCTTCTTCTTCTTCTTCTCATTTTGTGTTTGTACTTTTCATTCATATTATGTTTCTATGTGCTTTTTTTTCTCATTTCCTTGGCGCTTTTCCTTTTGGGGATATTTCGCTTACGATACGATACGATACGATACGAACAACATTCTGAATACAACCGACAAAAGTTTTGCTGTTGCAATTGTAATCGCTTCGCTCGCTGGACCTCAATGGCTGTTAACGGAGGAAAAAATCCGAAATCCCAACTTCAATGGAACTATCAACTATAACAATGCCATAGACGATGGAATGTACATTCTGAAGACAACAAAATCAAGCCTTTGGATACTCTGTTTTGCTCAAGGTAATTTTCCAGGTTTTCTTCAATTTTGAACCATTTTGAATGTGATTTTATGCACGATCCACTGAAATTAGAACAAAGCAAAGGGATTTTTCGTCATACAATATATTCAATTCAATTCTGTTTTCTGACACACCTGTGGGCGAATATGACGTCGTTGATTTGCGGTACGAAGTTCAAGTCATTGAACTTAAGAACAGCAAGCATATTTATCATTGAGTGAAATCAGTGGAATTCAAGAGAATATATTTTCTGTGAAAAATGCCACTTCGTGGTTTTTTCCCTCCGAATAATGAAGGATCTGCAGTCGACAGACTTTACATTCAATGCACATCTTTTTCTATGATAACGACGACAAAAATAAAGAAAGAGAACGAAAGGGCCGAGTACCCATAAGTCTGCCGAAGCTCAAATGTGTTTTCAGAGTCTTTGCAAAGACAACAAACATAATGCGACTACTTTATAATTGATGCATTCAAGCAGATATGGCAAGCACTCAAACACTGTGGGACAAGACGCACGTACTTCACAGCAGCATTAGCAGTTACAAGTAGCAGGCATTTGGTGGATGCACCAAGTCGAATATTGTATGTACGAACACTTTATCACATTAATGCCGAAAGCTCAAAGGTTATTGACTAAAAAGTTTGCATACAATTTTCTTCATCTCGTTCACTTTTCTTTTTCGCTCTCTCGCCCTCCTTATACTGTTCGTTCTCATCGCATTTCATTCGATGTGTTAGCTAGGCCAATCTCCCGTTTTACGTTAACCCGATTTAAATTTCATCCTCGCTTTTTCAGGAATTTCAAAGAGCGGATATGTACAAAATTTATTAGTAACACGATTCATCATCATCATTATCATACGCCTTTTTTGGATGCTATCTAGTTTTTCTTCATTATTTTAATGTTGACAAATAATGAAATAAATGAGCTTTCACGGCGCGTTTCATTGCAAAAGATCGGAAAAAGTGTTCGTTTGTTCTTTATTGTTGTTGAGCGCGAGAGACAGAAACTGCATTGACAGCAAATGAAGGAAGATGAAGCGAAAAGGCAACGTTGATCCAATGTAAATTTGCATCCGTTTTCTGTGCCCGTGTTATCGCGTTATCGTCGCATAGACACAAAATCATTTCCTGTTGTACAGCTGCTGTGCCGGTGAGCGAATGGGTAAGCGAACGAGAGTGCTATGGCAATGTAGCACGCAAATCTAATTGATCAACCAGCGCAGGCATTTTTCTCTTGGTTGGGCCCCCCGCGTGCACGCCGATCCCATGAGTCATGCAATTATGGAATATAGATGCAGCACCATCGTCGTCCTCGTGCTCGTCCGTAGCAAGATCTCGAGCAACTAATAAGCATATCACAAAGCGAAAGGGAGAATGGAAGTTGAACGGTGTGTGCGTGCCAACATTGAACAAGATGCACGATGCAAAATGCTTGACTTGTGCTAATGTGAACGCGCTATGCGGTAAACTGGGTTACCAGTCAATCTTGTTATATATTTTTTCTATTATTATTTTTTTTGTGCGAGCTCGTGGCTGCTGCTGCTGCTACTGCTCCGATGATCAAATTAAATTTTATTTTCCCATATTTCTACGCGAACGCCTTTTTGCACGTTTCGGTGATTGCACAGCAACCATAACCATTATTCCCTTCTTTCGATTCGCAACATACCTGGTTGTTATTTTAAGTTGCCAAGCAACTGTGCATTCGTTAAGCACGATTTGATATGGATTCGCAGTCCATTCTTTGTAACTATTTAAAAGCCATCGATAACAATAAAAATGAATCTCGTGTGCACGTTAATAGTTTTGTTCGCACCGTTTTAATTCAATTGTGCTGGAGCATTCGTTTTTAATTTCGATTGAGCCGCGTACATCAAAACTTTTCGAACAATTTTCCGAACATTCCATAACATCGATTTTAATGAAGTCATTTCATTACCGAAGCATGCAATAACCAGCATTGACTTTAAATTCATTTTCTTTGAAACATTAAATTTTGTTGAGTTTTTTTCTCCCATTCATTTATGTAATATTTAGTATTGATGTTTTCAGCGTGAACTTTCTACAAAGTTTGCCATTGCCATTACATGGTGTTCTCAATTAGATTATACGAAATACGAACCATGTGATAGATCTAATTTTTATTCGTCGTCGTCGTCATTATAGTCGTCAGAGTGAAAAGGATTTTTTTTCTGTTCATTCCATCAAAATAGCATCGATCAACGAGTGAAAAACAGTGAAAACAAATTAACTACTTACAAGCGAATTTCAAAACATTGACGTTGATGGATAAGATTGTGACACTTTGTGAAAGAGGCGACCTTTTCCAAAATTAGTCACAACTTGAAGCGTTGCATACAAGCACATCCACACACATATAGACATGAACACGTAGACGCACGATGACTACATTGCCATCGAATGCGGTTGTCAGTTTAACCGGATTAATATTTGATTAGTGCGAAATGTTCGATGTAGCATACAGCAGTTCCGCTCGTTTAAGGGGTTATCAATTTTAATAATATACTAGATACCTCTTCAAATCGCTCCATTTTCAACCGATTTCACTGGATTAGGGGACGAAAAACCAGCCAAAATTAGACTTGTTTTTCACATTTTGGGTCGAAAATTTGAGAGAGAGAAAAAAAACCGACAAATTATTTATGAATAGTTTCATTTTATTATAATTATACAATGAACCATATCCTAGGGTAAATGTTAGATGATGAAAAATTAATATGTTTTCTTTCTCTGGCCGTTTTTACAGGAGTTGAATACCAATGCTCAAAAATTGATTATTTCCCAAAGGATGAATACAGTCCAGATCCGAATGATTCAACCATGGCCATTCCGTGTAAGTATTCAATTATTACTTCTGTCTCACTTGAACAAGTACATGAAATACAATTTGTCTCTGGCATATTTTCGGACGTGTTTGGCGTACGATGCAATCAACTGCTTACTAACTCCATAATAGTTAAATCGCTTAATAATTTACTCTCTGTGCTGTTGTTTTGCAACAATTAAAGTCAATGGGATTGGATTGGATTAACAAACGAATAAAACCAACTGAATAATAATTCAAGTCGTCATCACTCACAAACGAAGCACTACCACCGAACAATAATGGCGATGAAAAATGGAAAATAAAGCATATTTTTATGCGGTTCACTAGATTATTCCATCTTTCTCTTTATCTATTTCAATCTCTTTGGCTTTCTGTGAAAATAAGTTTTCAGTTTAATTTTCATCTCTCTGTCTCTCTGTGCGATGTATTTCTGGTAGCAATTCAGTTTTCATTAAAACAATGTTGTAACTGTTTCTTGTGATGTTGGTAAATGCATTCCAAAGTTGAAAGAAGAAGCCAAACGAACGGACAGACAAACAAACAGCGCGCATTAGCACCATCAGTGCGGCTGCAAAGGGCCCAACGCAAAAGAGTTGTTTGCCTTGGATGAACAGCATGAAGTAAAATAGTTTTGCAGAAAATTGAGTGACATGAAATGAAATGAAATTGTATCTGTAACAGACAACCACAGCAAAATGTGTTTTCCTTTCGGGCACTACCGTCGCGCCACGCACATAAACCATATACATTTTATATGTCAAAGTAATGTGTTCACATTTTTTTTTCTTGGTATCTGTCACAAAATAGAATATTGCATAGAAGTTTTATTCATAACAAATTCCATGGGCCAAATATATGTTTGAAACGACAGTCTTTACAGTTGAGTGCAAGCAGTGTCTAAAATGTTACATACATATCAAAACAAAAAGTAATTTATTCGCAAATACAACATACTCCCGTTACACTTTGAGCAGTATCACTTTAGACTGTATTTCAGCTTCTGTTCAGCAGATAGAACATAAGTAAATACAGATAATGCATTCATTTGATGTTTGTGTCGGAATGAGCATGGGGTTGTGCCAACGCGCAAGGAATCGATGACGAGGCATGAATCAAATTCTGCACCATGCTCATAATTTGCGTTTTCGATAACACCAAAAACCGAAATAAATCGGGGCGAGAGAGAGAGAGAAAATATTTGACTTTTGAATAGATTTACTCCAAACTTCTGACAGTCAGCAGATTAGCCACATTTTACGAAATAACTTTGTAATTTCTCGTCAAGAGATACGATGTTAATATTGTGCATGGTGCTGCATTTGGCAAACGCAAAACTGGTGCGTGCACACTGCACAGTGCACCCAATCAACATCCTAGATAACGATAATCGTGCCGAGAAAATGGAGAAATTTGAGAATCATATCACTGAATAACTGGGTAAAATTGTCCACGAATTTTGTGAATATACTTGTGAGTATCTCTTGAAATTTTAATTGAAACCGGAAAGCATTTAATCAACACGTTCGGATTGGTTGGACCTTGTTATGGCATGGCACGTCGAAAATTCGACACATATTTACATGCAGGAAATATCATGTGTAAGAATTCCCTGTTCATATTTTCAACTTAATGAAATAATTAAAAGGTCGAATGAATCGGATGGGTCCATCCATTGACATGCTTTTGTGTAATTAACATCCGCAGAGTCAACTAGAACTAAAAACCTCACTATAGTAAATGTTTTATTAATTTAAGGTGAGGCTTATCGGCTAACTGAGTTTAAAAAAAGGGTGCGGCTTAAACAAAAGTTCGCTTTCACCACGACTTTGGCTATTTTCATCCAAGTCCACATTTGAAAAAAAAGAACTAAAGAGAAAAAACTGAATTTAGAGCAAATGAGTAAGCGTTGAACGAGTAGTCAATGACTTAGCGTTAATGTGAGGATGCGAACGGTTTTTTTTTAGTTCACGTGGTGGATTCCAGTTTCCGCATGAGTTCATGCGAATGAGTGAAAGAGCATGTATGTGTATTTTTAGCGGGTTGTTGGCATGCGTGAATTGGAGCGGTCTTCAATCGGTTAACATAAACATTGTTGTAAATGAATGGCACATTGTGTCAGAGCAGCGAAAATGTGCTAAAAGTGAATCCGTAACCCATACACGAACACTGGCACATAAAACCAACAACAAACGATCTCGCACCCGCCACGCTTGTTCGTTCGTTTAGTAACTCGAAAAAAAAGAATTCCATGAACTCATGCCGGAGATGCTCTAAATTATTTGCCATATCTTCAGAGCATTTTGTTTATAGTAAACTCCATTTAGCATAATCATTCGGGAGAAAACCGAATAAAGTGAGAAAAAAATCCTCCAGTGTGTTGATGCTACATGATAAAAAGCAGCAATTCGTTTTAAAAAAAAGACGCTTTTTTATCCTATTTCCTTTGCTCTAGCATATATATTGCACAGTGTTCTTCAAAGGTTTAAAACTTGGCGAATGGTCTTTGCACAGTGAACGACTAACTAGGAAAGAGAGAGGGGGCGGTGAAAGAAAATGCCAGCCACCGTACATACACACACACACAATCCATTTCCTCTGTCGCATGCTTATTAGCCCTTGCCGCAACTGCATTATGCTCATCGCTTTCACTTGTGATATCAAAGCAGCTTCGACGAGCTTTGCGTGGCTCAACCTCACGTTACACTCTTAACAACACAAAGAAGACAAAGCAAAGCAAATCAAACGAATTCCTTCTTTGTTGTAAATATAGACTCGGCTTCTTTCACATAAAAACAAAATATCGGTGCGACTCGATATAGTCGATCCTAACATGAACCGTTCAACTATGTTTCGAATGGAATGCGATCCCTTGGACAAAAGTTCATTGAGCTCAAACTTTGTTGGTTTTTTTTTTCGAATTGCTAAAAATAAATATTCAAACTGAAATTTCAGATTTTTTCTATCAACTGGCAGATATTCAGGCAGATAACAAGGTTTCGAGCACTAATCGAAATAATTTGCTGAGTAGATGATGTCTTATGATGTTCTCAAATTTATTACACTAATTGCATTTTTATCATGATTTCATGTTGCCAGTATTCAAAATTCAATTTCATTTTGATGCAGATATGATTGTAATTAAACAACCCTTTAATTGAGCCTGTCTCTCAACTCCATTTTCCATGTTTGCCATTCCACTAAAGGCTAATCAAAATCAATGTTGAAAATGTGAATTTAATTGGATTTGGAAATTGGTGCAATTTGTTACAGTGAGTGTGCACTGTGCATTCATCACGAGTGTCGTTTTATTTGTGCGGAATGTTCAATTGAATCAATTGCGGCTGATGTGGTATCAGTAATTGAACAATGTAAAATACAAACGCTGAAAAAAATGTGAATCGAGCGCGATAAAATCAAATGTCGATTTTTGTTTTATGTCCATTTTTCATTCTTGTGATTTGAGCGGCAGTCGGCAGTCGCTGATTTTTCTCTCCATCTCATTCTTCGTATTAAATGAATTGTGCCATCAAATAGAATTTCGTATCATTCTAAAACAATTTCAAAACAAATTTGAGCGCCCGAAGCGAACAGAAAAAAAAACGATACGGAAAATGGGAAAATGTTTTGCCAACAGCAAAGCGAATTGGGACGAATGAAAATGAAGAAACACAAATACACATAAAAAAATATCTATATAACCGTTGTGAAAACGACAGACGAACAGTGAAAAAAAAACTGTGTTGGCGTGAATATATTGGGCGACGGGGAGCAACGGCTCGAACAATGTCAACCTTTTATTTCATCGCTTTTCTTGTCGCCAAGCTCGATGTAAAGAATAGGAAAGATTCTCATCTTTTTATGTTATTACTTTGCGACTTCTTACGTTTTTCTCTCTCTCTCTCTCTCTCTCTCTCTCTCTCTCTCTTCCGCTAGGCTCTTTTTTTTGTTGTTTCGTTTTTTGTTTAGAGATTTCTATTTTCATTGTTCGTTATGCGCATTCCCTTTGGTCATTTTGCTCGTATTTGCTGTTAGTATGGCGATTGAATGGCAAACATTGAGCTGAGATTTCCCATAGAAATGGTCGTTGTGGCCATATTCGCCGCAGTTTCACACTTCCACTGAACACCGCTGCTAAAGGGAACGGAAATTTGGCAGTTCAGAATACAAAAGCAACCCCGAAAAAAATCATTGTTTGTTCAGTGTGGCAAACGTGCTCGCTTTTCGGATAATTACTGTATGGTCAGTTGGTGTTTCGCAGATAGCAGAGAACGTTGTCAGTGTTTGTGCGCAGAGATACCATGCCGAGTGCAATGCCATTTGACCATCATACACATGCTGAGACAATCACACTTAGATACAGCAAATTAAGGCGCAATTCATGGGTTTTCTGCATTTTATTGTTTGTCGCCAGAAAGATAGTTAGTATTTGCGTGCGCCAAAATAAGGCGCTTTAATTATTTACCAGGAGAGTTGCAGACGAAGCAAATCGCACTAAAATGCAAACAGATAAATTAAATTACCGTTCGTAAGTGAATGAATTTGTGTTACACACAGGATATTTGCAGGATGGATGTTCTTTCTATTTTTATACATGTGTGTTAGTCTTGATGGGAAAGTGGATTAGCGTGCTGTAAGCCTCTGTTCTGCTACTCATCTATTGCTTGTTGATTTGGATGCGATGTATGCTCGGCAATGCTGAACGATGCTATAGAAAATCGATGTGTTTGCCTCTGCCAGTTAGCGTCATACAGTAAATTTTCCTGCAAAAGTGTTTAAATGTAATTTAAATGCACTTTACCAGCTATAAAAGCAATATAATCACTTCATTGAAGAGCAGCTAAAACTTCCTTTCTGTTGGAATCATTTAGATGTTCGCTTTTGCACTTTAAATGCAACTATTGATAGATCGTTCATCCTTCTTTTGATGTTTGAAGTTTCATCGGAGATTGAGAGTGTGCGCGCGACAACACAATTCTGAAAGGCATCAAATTAAATTATTGCATCAA